CTCAGGGGGACAGGGTGGGACTCTGTCTTGACAAAAAAAAAAAAAAAAAGAAAGAAAGAAAGAGAAAGAAAGAAGAGGAAAAATAAGCAACAAAATAAAATAAAATAACAAAAAAATAAATAAATAAAAAAGAAATCATTGAGTCAGGACGGCACCTGTGGCTCAAAAAGATAGGACGCTGGCCCCATATGCTGGAGGTGGCGGGTTCAAACCCAGCCCTGGCCAAAAAAAAAAAAAAAAAGAAATCATTGAGTCATTCCCTCATCTGAACTGAAGCCTGGAAGGAAAGAAATGCCCCCATCCAGGCTTTATGGTGGCCGTCACGGCAGGGGTGTGGCCGTCAGAGTTGTGTTCAAGGTCTCTGAGCTGCAGGGAGGAAGCTGGGGGTGGGGCACATAGGAGCCCTGGATGGCTCTGACCACAGAGTGACCATGAATCACAGACTGGGACTTTTCCTTAAGGGCCTTGTGTTTTAATTTTCATCTTTTTGTCTGGTTTTGACCTTCTTATAATTTGCATCCAAGGAAAAACATCCACCTCCTGAATTTGCCAGCCACGTGGCACATCCATGGTCTTCACACACTTTATAAGTGGCGGCTCCTAGAACCCACTTCAGCCCCACTGGGGCCACATTCACCTATGTCAGCCCAGGGAGCAGAAGCCCAGAGGGAAAAAGGCTCTTGCTGGCATCAACTCACTCAGCACAGAGCCAAGATTCAAACACAGGTCTCCATGACCCCAAAGACCACTACACTATGATGCCTGTGGGGTCAAAGGTCATTCAGTGGTCAGGGACCAGCACTTACTGCAAGCCAGGAACCAAGCCAGTGGGAGGAGGCCCTTCATCTCTGGGGTTCTGGAAAAGAAATCACATCCCACAACACATCTGTCAGGCAATGCCCCCACAGCCCATTCAGACCCCACCCTGGCTCCCTGCAAGCCTCCTTGTATTAGTCAATAAACAGGTGAACTCAGTCATATAGGACAAGGCAAAAACCTATAGGTGCACAGGGGTCCCTGGAGGTATGGGGCCCTTCAAGGAAGTATTTTCAGGGATACAGTCCCTGCTACCAGGACACCTAGTCACAGACACCCAGACGCACTGACCCCTCAGCAGAAAATGCCTAAAAGGAACCCCAGAATAGGCAGGATTCTTTTTTTTTTCTTTTGAGACAGAGTCTCATTCTGTCGCAGCGGGTAGGGGTGCTACGGCATCATAGCTCACAGCAATCTCAAACTCTGAGGCTCAAGAGATCCTCTTGCCTTAGCCTCCCAAGTGCCTGGGACTACAGACACCAGCTACAACACCCGGCTAGTTTTCTATTTTTAGTAGAGATGGGGTCTTTCCTCAGGCTGGTCTGGAACTCCTGAGCTCAGGCCAATCCACCCACCTCAGCCTCCCAAAATGCTAGGATCACAGGCATGAGCCACTGCACCCAGTCCCAGACAGTATTCTTAAATGGAGATTTGATATCATAAGTTGAGGGGCAGGAATTGACATAGCCGAGACATGGCCCTTGAATAAAGATATGAGAAGCTGGCAGGGAGAAAAACATCCTGGACGCTAGTGGTGGGAGGGGCAGAGGAGGCCCCCAGTTCTGCATCTCCAGCCCCTTTAGCTCTACAGATGCTGGGGTTGCCTTTTCTCATGGGTGTCTTCCCTGCTGGTTCTGCCAGGGCAGAAACTGGGTGACACAGCCCTCTGTCCCAACATCCAGAACAGTGCCTGGCCCAGAGTAGGTGCCCCCCCCTCCAAAATATGCAAATTTGCACACACTATATATGTATTATAAACAATTGACAATTACATTGGTATAAAGAAAGTGATTATCCAAGCTGGATCATCACTATATAGTCATTATTATTATTATATTCATGTTTTCCTCCTTATTTTAAAAGAATTTAAAATGAAAACATTTCCCTGCGCTCCAAGCACTGCGCCTACCTAAAGAATAAGTCACCCTTGGGTGCTTGTGACAGTTCTGCAGGGTATTGATCACTTTTGCCATTTTGCCAGGGGGGAAATGGAAACTCAAAGAACTCGGGGAACTTACCGGAGGTCACACAGCCAGGAGGAAGTAGAAGCAGGATTTAGGGCTGTCCTTGTGCACCCTTCACTGAACTACACAGCCTCCCTTTCCAGAGGCATGGATTCTTTGAAATGAGGGGACAATTCTTTCTCACACTCTGCCTCATGTGCCCTCGGCTTCCCTCCTTAGGCAAACACAGCTATCACTAGCCTAAAGTTCAAAGCAACCACAACCAGAGGCAGAGGAAATTCCATGTGTCCGGGGCCAGCCCCGAGTTCTAACTTGGCCTCTTGGAGGCTCCTCCCTGGCAGCTGGCTGCTCCCCTTCCTCCCCGGATGCCCAAGTCCTTGTTTATCCACGACTGTCCAGCTGGCCTGTGGTCTTCCAGGAGCTCCCCTTCAGTGCCCGGCTGTCTAAGAGACCCTGTGCAGGCTCCTGGCACCTCTCAAGGCCTGGCCTTCAAACACACCTCAGAATCCCTTGGGCTCCTGGCTGCTAGGCTGGCTTCCATGCCACCTCTGCCCAGCAGCAACGCTGAGTTCCAGGAACATTCCTGAGGGCCCTCCGCTTCGAGGGCTCTGAACCGCCAAGGGAAGTGGCCCTAGATCCCACCCTGCCACACCAACTTTCCCTGCTGCTTCCTGAGCTGCGGCGGGAAGATGCTGGCTGCCACTCATCCACTGGTTAATTCCAACAGGTCAGGCACCACCCACTGTCTGTCTAAACAGTGGGCATTGGCCTCTCCAATGACCTTGGCAGGTGGCTATTGTCAAACCCGCTGGCCCAGCATCTGTCCCCCTAAATGGTTACTTGCTGGACAAATAGCAGTTTTTGACTTCACAGATGAGGCAATCAAGGCTCAGGCAGGTGAAGGAGTTGCCCACGGGCTTAACCCAGGACGGTGAATCTGCTCCCTTGGCCAACTCGACTCCACTGCCTCTGAACATCCTGGGCACTAAATATACTTTTTATTTTCAATATTTTATGATGTGTCGCTATCTTGGGGGATTTGCTGGCCAGGCAGAGACTGCCCCTCCCAGGACTAGCTAATTCCGAGAGAAGGCAAACGGCTCCTTCCAGTCCTACCTCCAGCCACCTTCATCTCAGCTTCACACTCCAAGACGCTGGACAACTAGGAAAACCTGGAGCCTGCTGGAATGGTCAGACTAGCCGTTCCTATGCCGTTCACCCTGCCTCACCAGGCCTTTCCCTCAGAAATCACAACAAAGGCCCTGGGCTGGCTTCCTCTGCCTCCTTACCAACCTGGTACCCCTGTGAGGGGCAGCATGCCCTCTTCTCTTGGGTACTGTGAATAAAACGCTGTCTGTTAAATAGCAACCATTTCTTGGTCTGTCAGCCTCCCCAGACCTGAAGAAAATCAACCTCCCAGGAGCATTTGGGAATACCCTGGGCACAAGCTACTGGTATGAGTCAGCAGCCAGAGTCCCTGCAAAGCTTCGCACCTGTCATCTTAGTGCTTTGGGAGGCTGACGCAGGAGGATATTGGAGGCTGGGAGCTCAAGACCAGCCTGGACAACACAGCAAGACCCCATCTCTACAAAAAACAAAAAACATTAGCCGAGAGTGCTGGTGGGTGCCTGTAGTCCCAGCTACTTGGGAGGCTGAGGCAGGAAGATAGTTTGAGCCCAAGAGTTTGAGGCTACAGTGAGTTATAATCATGCCAGTGCTCTTCAGCCTAGAAAACAGAGACCATATGGAAGGAAGGAAGGGTGGAAGAGAGGGAAGAAAGGGAAGAGGAGGGAGGGAAGGGTGGGAGGGAGGGAAGGAAGGAAAAGGTGGGAGGGAGGGAAGGAAGGAAAGAAGGAAAGAAGGCAGGGAGGGAGGGAAGAAAATGGATCTGAAAAAGTGAAAGGCAGTTTCCCAGCAGAGGCAGTAGAGCTACTGAAACTCTGCCCCGCAGAGGGGACGGCAATGGAACCCACAGCAGGCCCCAGAGAAGGATGTGGGTTTGGCTGTTTTCCTGAAGCAACCAGAGGTAAATGAGCCCAGCCGCAAGAGAAGTTAGCAGTGGCTACAGTAATGAGAGGTGGGGAGAGTGGAGACAGATCCACCAACAGACACAGGAGATGTGGAGTCCAGGAAGTGGCCCGATCACCCCAGTAACGGGCACCCCCAAGCCCAGATGTAGCAGCCCCAGTGCTCCTAGGACACCCCCCCACACACACACATAGTGTGTCTCCTGGCTGGAAAGGAGGAATAGCTCCAAGCTCCACTGCATAGCTGGGGTGCCCACAGTCTGTGGGGATGGGGTGAATGGGGGGTTGCCCTGCTCCCTCAAACCGCTTCAAGCCAGGCAATGCCCATCATGACATTCCTCACCAGTGAGACCTTTCCTCTTGTCCTCTGTCCTCTGGTGGGCAGAAGAGGCAGGGACTGGGCTGGCCTGGCTTTAAGGGCCTCTCTGGCACCTCCCACACTCCCTCCTGGGCCCACTCCAAGATTCCTGGTAACTCACATAGGAAGCCCTAATTTCCCCCTACACACCCCCGCAAGACCCCTGGGGATTTTCTACCTCTCCGTTTTCAGAGGCAGCTATGTTCTGATACAGGGCACAGTGCCTGGATGGCTTCAGGGAGAAGTTTGGAAGGGTCTGGCTGGGCCATTCATAGTCCAGGCTCTTCCCTGCCAGACACAGCCCCCCTCCCACCCATCACACTCCCGCTCTTGGCCCTGAGCGGTTCCCCCAGCCCCTGCCTCCTGCTTATATGTCATTCTGTCTCGCTCTGCCCACACCCAGGGACGTGTGGGAGCCAGGCAGCCCCGCTCTCAGATTTGAAGCTTTGCCCCGGGTCCTCTTCCTGTTGTTCCTAACCTGCCAATACCCAGCTTTTTCTGTACCACTCTTGAACTGGGGTGACTCAGGAGTCTATGGAGACCCCACCTTGGAAAGGCTGCAGAATGTTGCCTCCCCAAGTCCAGGTGGCACCTCCTTTTTGGCACCTGGCTCCCTACAGAATTCCTGCTTTTCTTTCCTCTGGGAAAAGCGGCAGGCTTGCAGTTAGAGAGAGGCAAGTTGGAGCCCATGGCTTAGCCACTTAATAGTAGCTGTGTGACCCTGGGCAAGTCACTACACGTCTCTGTTCCTTCATGTGAAACATGAGGATAATGAGCCCCTCCAGCCCCAGAGATTCTTGGAGAGGAATGTGTTAGATAAAATAAGGGGCCAGGCATGATGGTTCAGGCCCGTAATCTTAATACTTTGGGAGGCCAAGGCAGGAAGATTGCTTGAGGCCAGGTGTTCCAGACCAACCTGGGCAACATAGTAAGACTAAGTCTCTACAAAAATAATTTACAAATTAGTAGGGCAAGGTGGCATGTGCCTGTAGTCCCAGCTACTCAGGAGGCTTAAGCAGAAGGATAGCTTGAACCCAGGAGTTTGAGGCTGCAGTGAGTTATGATTGTGCCACTGTACTCCAGCCTGGGCAACAGAGCAAGACCCTGCCTCTAAAGAATAAAATTAAATAAGGCATATAAACTGAGATTGGGTAGGGAAGCGTGTGGCCCATAGGTAACACTGCAGACTCCACATCAGCTGCAAATCCTGGGTTCAAATCCTGGCTTCCCCACTACTGGATACATCACCTCAGGACCATCTGTAGAGCTCCTGCCTCAGAGAGTTGCTGTTAGGATTAAATGCATTTATACATTTGTAACCTAGGGCATCAGCAAATGCAGAATAATGCCAAAAAATAAATGATAGCTGGCTTGGCGCCTGTAGCTCAGCAGCTAGGGCACCAGCCACATATACTGGAGATAGCAGGTTCAAATCCAGCCCGGGCCTGCCAAACAACAGTG